AATTAAACAGTGTACAAAAATATAAAGCAACAACTTTTGGTAACTAGCCATTTGTAGGTCATTGACTAGTTTCATTAATAAAATATCAATGCGAGGATTAACTTAATGAGATAGGGATTGAACAATCGTTGTTCAATGGTCCATTCAGTTCTATCTACAGGGTATATGATCTGATGTCCTTTCCATTAAGAGGTGTAAAATTGCAAACACGTAGAATATAGGGCAGTAGTGCAAGGAAACCCCCACCTCCTGACCCACCCTCTCACAATCAATACATTACGGTTACGTACCCAATATGCCCAAATAGGTTCAAGGTTGGACATCTTCAGTATTTCTGTCTTTCAAAATTATATAACTGCTATAATAATGATGATTATGTAAACTAAATTTTATTGTCTAACCTCAGATTAGGTTACAATTGGTTAGTTTGAATAAAGATACATAGTTAAACACATGGTAAAAATGGTAACTTATTTCAGAAATTTGAACTATAAAAATATAAAGCTAAAAGTGTTAAATTCTAAAATTAAATTTTACACGCTTCAAACTGCATAAATTTTTTATTGCACGGTTTATTTTTGAAATCTTTTAAAAAGAGTGTTTTCATCGCTTTGAAATAATGCACTAAGAAAATAATGATGGTATTAATTTGATAGTTTATGGTTGTATGGACCAAAATATAGATAAATCAGATATCACAATTTGTAATTTGCATACAATATTCAAGTGAAACTAGCACGGTGAACAAAATGAACTATCACTAAAACACCAAAAATATTAATTGCAAAGCCAATTTGAATCTATTGTGAGTAACACTGTCAAAATCATAAATATTAAAATGCATACATTAAAATAGTGGCCAAACCAATTTGATATCGAGATTGGTGTATAAGAAATGAACGATTTTATAGTTTACAAAATTATTCTTATGTTAATATATTAGGCTAAGTTTTGACTTGTGTTAGTTTGACAACTATTTTATAATGAAACTCGCTTGTAAATAAAGGCCTTTTTATTTACTTATAAATTGGTAAAGATAGGGGATTCCTGTCTTTTTTATCAATAGTAGTACATACTTAGTAATTTGTCAGCAAAAATTACATGCGATAGGAATAGGTACAAAATGATATTATTGGATAAATCTTTCTTCCTTTTATACTGAGCATAACAAAATGTTTGTAGGTATGATAACCAAAAGACTTATTGACACTCCTTTCTTTAATAAATTTATTTAACTTTCAATCATATTGTTTATATTTGAACCTATAGTGCCAAACTAAACAGGAAGTAAAGTTTTAATATTTTCTGACGCAATTAAATATGTGTGTAAACCCTTTTATTTATCGTGTCTTCTGGTATATTGATTGTGTAATTGTAGTTATTCAACTAATAACCAAATATGGCTGGCACTGGTTTTCCCGGCTTGATGTAAAAGGTCAAATGCCAGGTAGTTTAATGGAACGAAGGATTTTTCCACCATTTGTTTTTAAAGATCAACTATATGACATAGTTAATGTAGCATTCATGAATTATTTATGGAATTTAAAAATCTACCATCCAGATCTCCTCTCCCAAAAAATAAAAGTGTTTCACTGTTTGTATTTTTTTCATAACATATTTTATTAACTTAAAATAAAACCTATCTGGTGTCACAGTTAAATTAATTAAAATAAAACCAACTAAAAATTCTAAACAATTTATTTTTTATGAAATAAAAGCTCTAACAAAATGTAAAAAAAACAAATACATGCATGATAATTACACAAAACTACAGTTAATCAAAATTCTTCAAAAACGGGTTCTTCAGTAAAACTCTACCTCGTCAGTGTTTCTTTTTGACTCTTTCTAGAACACAAAAAATAAGCACAATTTAAAAACAAAACAAGCAATAACAAAACACAAACAAAGCACAAGCGCTAAAATAATAAAACTTATTCCTAGACAATTAATGAAAACTGCAAGACAAAATAGGTGTTACGGTTAATAATGGTTTTACCAAAAGGTGAGGGTAGTTTTTATAACATAAAGTCAAAACACAGTTGAAGGAAATCCTCTAAATACGGGTTGAGTTAGGACAAATTGATGGTAAATTAGTTGATGTCAGTAGCTGGATCATAAAAGAACTAATATGGAAATTCTTAAATAAATTAAAAAAACAAGAATACCTACTGTATATCTAAAAGTATCTGTCCCAAGAAAACCGTTTAAGTTTCATCCCCTGTACATAGTACCTATCTGGAAAAAGTATTTTTTTCAAAACTTTCCGTTTGAGGGGAATCATCACTTTTGGGCCCCGTGAACCAAAAATAGTGTTTCCAAAGGGATGACTGTGTGCGTGTAAATGTGTACAAAGCTACAAACCAATTGTGGTCCAATTTTGATGAAATTTGGTAAATCCATGGTATCTCTGAGCTTTTGTTTCTTTAATTATTTGAAATTTTGATTTATAACGGATTTTTAAAATAAAATCTCATAAAATAACGGAAAATTCAAACAAATTTTATTTTAGTATTTGGATTGGACAGAATAAATCTGATGATCTGTTTTTCAGCGTTGATATGAATTCCTCTGAATTTATCTGACTGAAATTCCACTTTTGGGTGTGGAAAAGATCGCACCTCAGTCGTATCAAATCTGTTACTCATGGTGTAATCATGGTTACTGTATAAGATCTAAGCTGGTCAAAGGGTGAAGGAAGGAACCCAAAATGTTCCTGCCTCTTTCATAAGTTGTAAGGTCTTATCAAGAGAGAAGTGAAAATAAGTAAAAAGAGTAAAAGAAAGTTAAGGGATACCTTGGGTTGAATAAGACTTCCTCATAGATCAATAGAATAGAATAGAATTAAAGGAGCCAAAGATGAGTATAAAAGCATAACATTCAGTTAAAGCCACAACCTAACAGTGCTACTGGTCTAGACGAGCGTCAGAGATACTGAAAGCGCTCGGATCAACAACTTCTAATGATAATAATTAGATATAGGCCTACCCCTCGCATTAACTTTAGGGTCTTCAACTTGGGGTTCTTGCAGTGTAAAAGTTGGAGACGAAAGTATGACTTTTTGTAAGAGGATTATACTTGAGTGTTCAGATTTTTAAGCGCTCAATGTTGAAATGCATGACAGAACCGATGTTTCTAAAGAGTTGGTCTTCAAAAAGATTTGTTAAGGCTGTTGAATTTAGTTGTGGTAATTGATTGAGCTGGAAGGTTGAAAGTTTCCAATTCAGTTTTATCACTTGTGGAAAAATGAACAACTGGTATCAAGTCTGTTGTTGTCCAGCTATTGTCACTAAAGATTTTAAGGTCTTCAGTGAGGACTGTTAAATGCGTTCTCAGAATTAATTTAAGGAAAGGCTACCCCAACCCTCGAAAATCCAAAATTTACTAATTGCTAAACAGCTCCGATTAGTTTGGGTAGGCCTATTTATAAAATCCGACTAAGATTACATTCTGCTTTGGCCAAATAACAAACAACTAGTCTACTCTATTTAGTGTTTAGATAATTGCACTTTAAGTGATGGTCATATGTCAAATAGGTAAATATTGTATTTATATGAATTATGTAACCACAAGAGGTTTAGCCTACGATAGCATAACATTGCTTGGTTTGAGAAATGCCAAGAAAAGCTATAAAAATATAGTACATAGTACCAAAACAATGAAAATAAGTTAGCACCTGATTTGACAAGAAACGCTACTCAGTAATATGTTTACTTGAATAAATTTTCTCAGCGACTGATGGATAAGTTACTCAGTAGCCAGTTTAATCATTAGGGTTAATGGTGAAATAAGTTATGTCTATCAGATTCTTCTAGGTTAGTTTGGAATAATAAGTATTCGGGAACCTAACAAGATTGGACTATCGAACGTTACCATAACATTTGTTGAATTATTATAGGTCTATGGACCACAGCCACCTAGGTTAGTAACTCGATAAGAGACACAAATTAGACAAGTAGGCCTACAATTAATAGTCATTCTGCATCCCGTATCACCACTAGCATTAAGGAGAGTAGCAGAACAACCAAACAAAACCCTGCATCAAGAGATTAACAAATTATACATGCACTAGTCATTCACTCTAAAGTTAATTTCAGTAGCTGTGTGAAAACAAACCCAACTGCATAAAGGGAAAAAAATTATCTTAATTGTATACAAGGCCTATTTTTATAGCGAACTTCCCATAAGATATTTAAGTTAAATTAGGGAATAAGCTATTACCGTATGTCTCATGGTAAGACCTAAGCCCGAGACAGACTTACTTTTTTGTTTTGATGTCCCCAGAGGCAAACAACACCATCCGTTCAAATTTATATAACATATATTTTTAGGCTATCCCTATGTGTGTCCATTAGCACCATAACTCATACAATTTTTATAAAATTCTGTACAAAATGTGTAAACATACATTTATTCGAGCAAGTTTGCGATCCAGCATGAATAACATGTTTAGGGCTTATTTACAAAAATTGAATAAGTAGGCCTACAATACTAAGTTTAAACCAAACCAACCCCCTTGCCCTTACATATAGGTATCTAGCCTCACAGAAAATAAAAAGTTATAACTGTGTAATAACTGAAAAAGCAAATATATAAGGATGAATCGGGAATCGTGAATGGATACGATTTACAGTATCATTTAAGATTAATGTAAGTTGACTTATTTTCATTCAAAATGTTTGACGGATGAATTATTGTTATTGTGGCTGTGTTCAATTTAGATTCACCTCTCAAAAAATCAAAATGTCATAGGCCTTAGTAACTTAAATATATAAATTAAAACACCTTACTAGGCCTAAGTTTAAAATTGTATTTTTCACTAGGCCTAGGCCAAACTAAATGATAGGTTAGCTAATGACATAAAGGAATGATATTTGTATTCGCAAAGCAACGTCTAGTGAACAACAGCCTATTTTTTAGAGATTGAATAAATTATTATTGTTAAGCAAGTAACATTTTAATCGACATGTAAACATTGATGTTATACTTCACTAATCCCTTACCTTGTAATGCATTAACGTCGTCTGCATCGTATCTACAGAATCTCCTTCTTACAAAAATAGACTCACTGTACAACAAACTTGTCAATAAAATTATTAGCTTGAACCTTTATTATACATATTAACAATTATATCATTCAACGAAATTCAAAAAATCATGTTCACTTCAAATTTCCAATTTTCTTGGATAATTCATTATTGTTTGATAATTCACAGAACAGAGCTTCCATAATCTAGCACCAAAGCCCCACCATCAGCAACAGCCGATGCTTTGACTTTTAACAACTAGATTAGAGTAACAACTGATCGAAACTTTTTTTCTGCAGCGAAACCGTGCTTTCATAAAATATATGTACAAATATGTATTAGTTCAAACAATTAATTAACGTTAGGCTGGGGACGATGCATTTAAGATGCAATTTACACAATTATTAGCTTCTCTATCAAAACATAATAGTAATAGGATGATAAATAGAATGTACCAAAAAGATAAACTGTTGTATAAACCATTGTATGTTATTCTTTATATTGTTACTCAATTCAAATTTTATTAGTGCTATTCTTTGTAAAAGCACAATTGGATCGTTTTGTTGTAACTATCATCTTTTTCACTTCTTTTGCTACTTGCCATCTTGTTGGCTGTCACTTATTTTTTTCGTTTTGTTCTTAACTAATATATTAAATTCGCTATCAACTATTATTTTTTATTAGTAGTAAGTAAGTCTTTAACATAAGTTTACCAATATCAATATGGAGCTGCCCGTTAAAACGTAAAATAAAGAAATAAATTACTTCAAATTCAGAGCTTTAAGAAATTCGAGTTTCAACTCAAAAATATGTCTAATCAAGCTTCCATGACATTGACAGTTACCCTAACTGTGACAGAAACTATTAATTATTGAGCTAGGTTATTTTACTATTTTCCTTACCGGTCCGAATCCCTACGGCTAAGGACGACGGACGGAGACATCATGTATGGCGTATGTATCTATGTTGGGATAAACTCCCTTCGACAATTCACAATGAATACAATTGTAGCGTTCTCGAGTTGCATGGTTATATAATTTACTTTACACGAATTTAGTCAATGGTCAGTGTTTATAGCCAATGTTATAAAGCAGTAAAATTTATAATCAATGGCATACAATTTAACTGTGCCACCCCTCATACCCCATACCTATTTATTTATTTTCAACGGTTCAACCATTATACAATAGAAACGCTTAATTAATTGTAGCCATAATGCACTGAATCGCCCACCTTGTTTTTTTTGTGGTGGCAAGTTGACGCCTCTGACCAAAACACCGAGTTGTTGGTTTGACGTGGTGGCGCCTTGACAGCGACCCTGTTTACCTATCTCACCCGTTTGGATAACTTAGCAGCAATAGCAGAAAAGTGTTTTTATCTTTTTAATTCATCATGTAAATTGCCGCTCATGCATGGTAATTATTGTTAAAAATGTGTCTACCGTGTGAATAAATAAATAAACAACCAGCCACCTAAACTTCTTCTTCTTTTTGGTGACAGGTTGGTGGGGTGGTTCCTTGAAGGCTTCCATTAGAACACTGAATGACATTGTATGATCATAAAAAAAATGGCAGACGGATATATTATATACCAAGTTTCGAAATATGACCATGACCAATAGTTTAACTGTTTACATTTTTATAGTAACTTACTATATTTATTTTGTAATCATTTTTCGATGATACATTTATAACTTAACATCAACATCCAAACTCCAAAGGGATAGCATTCGCCTATAGACAAGTAGTGCCACCCCCAAAAAGTAGTCCTTCAAAAACGTTTCATCCATTGCAGGATTGCAGATTCGTCAAGAACATTCAAATAAATACACATATAAGACTACACATAAGTTAATTGTTAAATATTTCGAAAATCATGCGGTTTACTATTAATCAGTGGCCTATGAATGTTACCTTTTAACCTTATACCTTGGTTGGTCCTCTACCTCTTCACCATAGTCATATAGACTAAGGGAATCATAATCTTCTCTTTTCTTTCTGTGTCTGTGTCTTTGAATGTGTTTGGTGTATGTGTGTGTGTGTGTGGTGTTTATGGGTTCGTTTTGGAGCCTATATCTTTATTCAGTAGTGTGCTTTTTGAAGAACTCATCTAATTTGTAGTATAGTTTTTGGATTAGATATCCTTTGGGTATTTTTAAAAAGTTGTTGCAGATTTGATTAGTTTTATATGTTCTGGTAGAGCATTACAAATTTTTGACCCCATGATTTATTAGGGTATTTTAGTCTACTTGTTTTTGATAGGTAATATATCTTGTTGGATATTAAAATTTGTTATTGTGTTTCTTAAGTTATATTTGTGGAAGTTCTATCCTGAGCTTTGGGAGGTTGAATACTTGAAGGATGTACAGTTTCAGTACAGTAAGGAATTTGTTCTTGATTAAGTACCTTTCTGGTTTACAATGATCTTGTAGTTGTAGAATTTCGATTTCAATTCTTAACACATTTTTGTAGAGTTTGGATTATAAATGTAGCTAATCCACTGCTGTTCAACTGTTTCTTTTATGTGTGTTGATTCTTGGCAAATTTTTGTGGAAAAGAGGACGGTTGTGTCTTTGGCAAAGAGCACTAACTATTTTTCTATAGAAAGATCAGATGGATATATATATTTTTTAAGTGTTAGAAGAATACATGAGTATACAAATGTATATACTGTATTGATATTTTATGGTTCCGGTTGTTTACTTTTTTTTAATCATTTTATATATATTTTAAAGTTGAATACCTATGCCACTAAGGCCAAATTATAATATTTTTATGACATCCAAATAAATCACCACCAGCTCCTCCAAATATTACCTGTAATTAATAAAATCTTTAAAATAATAGTAAAGTGCAAGGAGATATTCATTGGGCTTTAAATAAATATTTTATTTTGTTTTGATTACTAACATTTTCAATGTAATGAAATGTAGTTGGGAAATATAAGTCATTAAAACAATCATAGCCAAAGAACAAAAAAATATATAATAAATTAAGCAAAACATAGATACAGGGTGTCTTGCAACTATGAACTAACTTTGACATTTTATTCAGCATCTCAAAAGAAACAAAAATGTCGGATAAAATGTGTCCTATCTCATTCCGTTTTCAGTATATCAGTCTGTGTGTATTTTTTACTAAAACATTCATAAATCCTTGCCGGTTTCTGCAAAAGAAATTCATAAAAAAAAATTATTTATTGGCTTCTATCTTTGTGAAACGTATGAATCAAACCTCTTAAAACAGTTTTGATACCAAATTTCTTGACAACCGTTAATTTGACCAAAGAACTGTAGTAAATTTTTATTGATATTTCAACAATATCTTATAATCTCAGTTTGGACAAATAATAACAGAGAAATCTGTTTTTTTTCTTGCTTTACCTACAGTTTTCTCTATTTCTTAAGAAGTAGTTTTATCGATTTAACATTGCAACTGTTTTAAGATTCTTATTTAATAGCAATCTTTTACATTTACGCTTGTACACAGCGACATTGTCTCTGTCAGCAAGCCGTGCCCCTAGGGGTAAGACCATAAATTTCTATATACGAAGAATAGGTTCAGTAAAACGGGCGGTTAAGCAAATAGACAGATAACTGAAATACTGTTAAACCTGAACAGGATGTTGATTAAAAGGTTTTGGAAGAAATTAAACCTGTGGCGTATTTCAGCTACATTTTGGTGATTTGGTCTTGAGATTTGAGTATCACAACCAAATCGTTTGTGTTGGAAACGACAACTGGTTTAATTTATTTAATTAGAGACAATTTACTGCAAATCACAGGCCCAAAGAGCCACCTTTGATGATTATTAATACTAATAGAACCATTTCAACTACAGAAATACCACAATCTTTGAATATATGCAATAATTACTAATATGACAAATGGATACAACGTAAACTATCATTTGAGCAAATATTGAAATTGAAGGGTGATGCTAGAAATAAAATAACCAATTTTGACTAAATAATCTGGAAACAATAATTAGTTAAATTTAGAGTAATTACTATCTAACAGTAACACCATTCCCCTTGTACCCGCAGTTTAGCACGACACCTCCATCTTCGGACCAGCAACACAAAACACAAGACTGCGTCCTGGCTTCCACTACTAAGCTCATGTGCTCGCCGCACATTTGAGTTTGAGAGTGTCTTCTTGGCGGGACAATTGAATTGGTGTATCAGGTTGTGGAGTCTGAGCTCCACAAACTCTGTACAACTGGGTAATTACATACTTATATAGTTTATTACTTACATACAATACCATTATTTTGTATGTTGTACTTTTTAAATATCCAAACAGTGAAATAAAATCACATAGTAATCTAAGTACTGTAGCGGGTGATGGTCAACAGAGCCTAACTGTTAAAAAGGTGACAGTTAATCAATGTTCTACTGTATTTAAGAGAAAGTTTTTGTATGATTTTCTGGTACAGACGTGTTCGCCTCCTTCAGGCTGTCCAGCAGAACTGTTGTTGTACTGCCTGTTATTGAAATGTAACAGTAACTCCCGCCAGTTGAGAGGTGCAGTTTTTGCTGGTCATACACTTAAAAAACCTATAGAAATTCATCGCCAGAGAAAGAAAAAATTCTTTATGTATGATATAATAAATTTGTGCAGCACTATATACAATAAAAATATCACATGGGTCACAGTAACCTGTGCGTGATAGAAACACACTCACACCAAGGTGTTGTTCGGAAACAACATAATTAATTAAAGTTCTGCTCGGAATGGTGTACTCTATTTCAAAATGGCAAAACAAAAGTTGACAAAAAAATTTGTATATGACAATGCCCGACCTCATACGTCAAATCGCACATACGAGTTCCTTCAATCGTTCAAATGCGAGATCTTCCCTCAACCACTCGTCCTGGGAGTGACGATCTGGCTCTGAGTGACTCAATCATTTTCTGTACCAAAATAAAGACTTGATTACAGCACAGTGCTTTGATTACAGTAGGACCTCCAGAGAATTGTGTGCCACTAGGTGGCTGAGATTGGCTACGACAAAGACATTTCAAAGCTCGTCCACTGTTTTGATAAATGCCTTGTTTGGTGGCTATGTAGGAAAATTGTATTTTCCTACAGTCACCCGACAAAGTTGGCTTCCTTGTACTGTTTATAGTACAGAAAGCTGTTAATTTCTGCATATTTATACTTTGTCGTACAGTTTATACTTTGGCGCACATCAGGATTCCAACGAAACAACACAAAACAGCGTGGTTCTATTATGCGCGTAATCCGTTTACGCTTGGAAATAGGTTGGCAACACTTAAAGATACTAATACTATGAGCAGCTGATTGACTATTATAACTACGATTTAACCTGTCATTTCGTGTTTATAGTTTTGGTATTTCTGAACTAACTGGACTTTTATTTTAAACGTTTTTAAAACATTCCTACGATCTTAATAAACAATAAAATACCTTTAAAGCATTTTTTTTTGTGCAGAATCCACTTCAAATTACAAAAACATCCGGAACTATTTTCTCAAGTGCGGAATGATCTTAAGTGCAGCAAAGGCCTTTTGCACTCGTGTTACACATTATATTTTTCCTACAGTCACTATAAAGCATATAAATAATTAGTCTTTCAAACACTATACAACACGTTTTTAGGTTCAGCTGGCAACACAAATAGGTGCTCTAGAGAAAGTAGTACCCGGTCCGTATTACTCCGCTATTTTTCCTCGGCAAGAAATGTGCTCCGCGACTTGAGAATATAGTTCCGTATGTTTTTGTAATTTGAAGTGGATTCTGCACCTAAAAAAATGCTTTAATAGTTATTTGTGCAACTAGTGAGCAAAGGGAGCAATTGACTCACTCGAGAGAAACACTTACTCACGAGCCGTAGGCGAGTGAGGAATGGTTTCTCGAGTGAGGCAATTGCACTTTGCACTCAAGTTGAACATTATATTTTTCCTACAGTTACCATAAAACAAATAAATTGGTAAAGAAACGTGACATATTTTTACACAGAAGTGAACTTTTAATATGACATTTAATGATACAACAGTACAACAGCTGACCAGCTGATTTACAGCCAGTGCTGCCAACGTATTTCGCGACAATGTTAACATTGTCTCACTGATGAGTGAATTGACCACTTTACTTACTCAAATCAGTGAGAGAACATGTACATTGTTAGGTAACTGTAGGAAAAGGTATTTTCTTGTAAACATTGCTCTCGTCTGCAGCAAAGTGCCACTTTGCTCACTAGTTACACAAATAACTATTTAGTCACTTTTTCCATTGTATATAATAAAATGTTTTCTAACAAACTGATTATTTTATTCTTAAATGTTCCTTACTTCTTAAACGGCTCTCATACAATATGAAAAATGTCAAAAAGGTTACATTTGTTGGAACTTGGCGTCTAATGGGACAATTATGTGAAACTGGTAGAAAATATTTTTTTTTATAAAAACAAGTAGATTTTTATGAACAATTAGCAAAAATATTAAAAAAAAAACTGAAATCCATAAAAGTTGACTCTAAGAGAATATAGATTTTTTCTTGAGAATAGTTTTGATAAGGCTTGCCTAGTGTTTCCATGTGATTTGTATCCCAAAACAGGAATTTAGGCTCTGACGCCTAATTTGTTTACCGATTTCCGGATTAAAACTTGCCTCACATAATGTATTTATTTTAGCTTCGTATTATACCAAGGTTTAAAGAACCATTTAACATGTTTATTAAGGAAAATAATTTAGGATTGAATGGAAATTTGTACGTAACCCATGATTGAGGAATTGGATTTTCTCAACTTGGTAAGCAGGATTTTTGTTTTGGTCGTAAGAAAACCAATCTTAAAATGAAGACTTAATACTTCAAATGAAAATCTCTTTGTGGAATGGAATTTATTGTTCCATTGTGAATTTATTGTTGCGTTGTGTTGTGTGTAGGTACTTTTGAAATTGCAGCTTGAAATATAAAAATCATAACTAGACCTAATTAAAATAGAGATGATATTTAAGATTATCATGTGTACTCTTTATTATACTCATTAACTAACAGTATCTCTAGATTTGGTTGCTGGTGCTTTACACAGCTATCATCTACATTCTACATAGCCTTTAACCCTTTGAGTGCTTAGGGTTAACCCTTTAAGGTTATTTTAACAAAAAGTAGCAAAACGGCCATTGGTGACCTGCATGTTCGTAGGTTACACTAACAACCACTTAGCTAAAAGATTCGCTCAATCCAATGATTCGAGGTGTATGTCTAAACCAAGGATTATGAACACCTCACTATGCCCCAGTGGTTGTAGTATATCGCTACAAATAAACAGGTTTTACAATTGTTTGCCACACAGAATGGGAATCGAACCTGGCAAACGAATGTCACTGGCCAAGTGACACACGCACTAGCCACCTCGGCTATCTGTGCTTGAAGAGTGAAGAGTAAAAACCGGTATTTAAGCTGACGCTGACGCCAACGATTGGAAACAGTTGGCACTACAGCAAGTTGTTCAATGCGTAACTAGGTAACAGCACTAGTTAGTTGGCATTTTTCATCTGAACCATTACAGTGATCATAAATGGTGTTGCTCAGGCTTTACTGCAAAAAGGGGTTTTTTCTAAAAAGGCTACGGTATATTGTAGTAACCTTATCAAACTAAAGCAAGGTTCAATTCAATATTACATTATAAACTAGATGTCTTTCGATTTTATGAAATTTTGGTTTCAAAATATACTATCAGAACATTACAATTTATGAGAAAACTTGGAAATTTACAACAAAGACACAGATTTATTTAATGTTTTCTGCAAATACCAAGAATTTTCTTTGTTATATATTTGTTATTTTCTTATTATTTCAAATTAGCCTGATTGATAAAATAGTGAAAACAATACAGTTACAATTCAACAACAGGTAATGGAATTTAAAGGCAAACAAAAGTCTTACAAAGTAAGAATTATTGGCCTAGCACTCTAAGGGACAACTAAGCCTATAGCTATTCGTTTTATGAGGTTTGTCTCAATTTGGAGAAAAATAATGAATAAAAAGAATCTTCTGCACAAAAAAGGTCAATTTATTAAATGAGTAATAAGTACAAAGGTTCATAAACAAGAGGTACCAAGAGTACCAAGAGGTTCAATAATTATTACTACTCATTGTCAATTCTGTTCATTTAAACAATTCTGCAATATCAAATTCTGCTTTTCTATTCTTCCTCTCCTCCATCAGCTCTGCCTCTTGCCTTTTCCTCTCCTTTTCCTGCTCCTCTAGCAAAGGAAACAATGGCAGTTTTTTGGACAACAAATTATCAACAAAATAATTTGGAAAATCATATCCCTGAATCTTGGAAAATGCTGACTTTATTTTTTCTTGATAATCCACTGGTATATCTTTAACAATAGAAGCAACCAGTTTCTCAACAATACCAGCTTTACGTACGGTTTGGGCCATCTTTTTAACGTCATAATCAAAAAAGATCTTGACCCCATGATTTGTTGCCAATTCGCCAACTAAACATTTGAGTTGTTCAATATCAAAATCATTATATGATAAATATTTTCTTTTCAAATATTCTGAAATACTTATTTTCATGAGTTTGTCGATGTCTCCTCTAAAAATATTGACGTGGTGTAACAGCTCCACTGAAAAAGAAGGTAAAAATTAAAAAGTTGGTATTTATCAATACTTCATAGTCTAACATAAGGTGGATTAAAATAGTGTTCCGGTTCAGACTAATACCATTCTTGCTAAGAGATGTAAGCACAGGTGTTTAAAGAAACAATCCCTTCCACTATAAATCCGTATTTCTTAGGCCGGTTACAAGGCACATATACATATCGCAAGGTGCAACTAGCATTTTTCATGCTACTAGCATGCAGCTTGAAGACCAACCTGTGTTAGTCAATTGGAGCTTACACACATATACTGTAAGGGAGATATAGGTTTTATATTTGTAGATATGTGTAAACTAGAGGTTGTAGAGGTTGAATTGTAGATAGGAAGTGACCTTGCCAACTAGGAAGCGTGCTGGAGGTGTTTTGGTAAACACTGAGGGCTTTGCACTCAGTAGCTGTTAGATCAATAAATATAGGCCACCTGAGGTAGAGAAAGGGGTCAGTTGCCCGGGGCAAGGTGCCCAGGAGAGTTGGGTGAGTACTGGTTTCTCTATCTTGGGGTTTAGGCCCTGTAGTCGGGAGTTTTGTACGGGAAGTTTTGATTTAAGGGGACTGTAAGTTAATTGGAGTTTTGTGATTTGATTTGAAGGAATTCTTTTGGGGATAGATACTTTGGTTTGATTAGATTACAAGGGAATAGTTTCGTTTCGTTTTTGGGGATTATCAATCTAAGATTCAAGCTACCTCCAGAGCGGTTCCTACCAGGCATTTGTTAGTAGGCTATACTTGAAAGTAACCGTCACTGTATAAAACTTGATTACTTAAAGACAATTAAAATCCTGTTTGATGAACACGATCTGTTTCTCTTATTGAACAGCTACCCAGCTCATAGCATAAAGTAGAATAAGTTTAAAGATTCGGGTTTGCTATAAAGATACGCTCCCATGTGCGTATGCAGAATAACCTATGAAGAGCGAGGGGGTTTTCTGCATATCACAATACGACTAGCACAGTGCGAATGGCATCGTGCAGCACCAATTGCAACTGATCGGTCGGCATGCAGCGTGCATCTTCAGTTGATGCATGTGCAGAACACATTTCCAGTCACATGGCTATTGCAAAACACTTATTCATTCACATACTAATGGGTGACCCAAAAAAACAGGGACAATTTAAAAATGTTATTATTCAGCTGTTATAACAGAGGGAGAGTTCGTTGTTGTGGCAAATGAATGTTTATTTTATGCCATTTTGCGTATAGTTACCACGGATTGTCAATGGTTACCTCAACCTTCCTTTTGCCATAGAGAATTTTTTCAAGAGTAATGTGTCCACCATTTCTACTCAGTTTTGTGTTCACTTCCATGTTGGGCGTAATGGTGACACCCCAAACAAAAAAAAAAACTACTCAAAGATGGGTAAGCAATTTCCTGAGCACGGCTTCTGTACTCAAAATTAAACCTATACAAATATAAATTTAAACGCAATGTTCTGCAAACAGATGACTTAGGACGCTCAACGTAGTTTAGGACACCCAGCACACTCGCGCGAACCATTTCCAATGTTTTCCGGCGTTCGATCAGTTCGAGGTCTCCCACTAGGTTTGATTTTGAGTGTTCAGGAAATTGCTTACCCATATTTGAGTAGTTTTACGGTGTGGGGTTGTACAGGGTGCGGCGCGGGAACTTACTTATTTGAATTACGCGCCTTGTGGCGGCCATTAGTCCTAGGAAGGCGGGGCCATGCACAATCTGGTGGGCGGGCTATGAAGTTTTTCGTCCACTCAGTTCAGTTGCAACCATGCAGTGGTCGAGAGAGGAGCGCACGTTCGCAGTCTCTATGTACTTTTCTAGTGGCCGGTCTATCGTTGCAACCCAGCGTGCGTTTAGGAGGCAGTTTAATGTCGCGCCCACTGGTCGTGTTCCTGGTCCAACATCAATCGTTCAGTGGGTGAATACTTTTATGAATACAGGCAGTGTGTGGAAACAAAAACCAGGTCCTTCCAAAACCACTAGAACGCCAGAAAATGTCGAGAGAGTAAGGCAGGCGGTTTTGCAATCACCTAAGCGATCCGCACGAAAACATGCATCTGCGCTTAGAATTTCAGATCGCACAGTTAGGCGAATTCTGCACCAAGACTTAAAATTCCACCCTTACAAACTGGCAGTGGTGCAAAAACTAAATCCTTGTGATTTTGTTTCACGACAAAGGGCATGTGAAGCCATCGTTGAAAACTTGCCTAACAACGCACGTGTTTTTTTAGTGACGAAGCACATTTCTATCTGTCAGGGTGTGTGAATAAGCAAAACATGCGATATTGGAGTGGTGTGAACCCCCGAGAACTTCATGAGAAGCCCCTTCATGCAGAACGAGTGACTGTTTGGTGTGCCTTATCCAGGACTGGCATCATAGGCCCATGGTTTTTTGAAGAGAACGATAGGGCAGTTACAGTCACTTCTGAACGGTACATTCAGATGATTCAAGAGTTTTTCCTTCCAAAACTTGATGAACTTGGTGTAAGAAATGTGTGGTTTCAACAAGATGGGGCCACGGCTCACACGGCACGCGCTTCAATGGCTCTCTTGCGCGAACACTTTCCACAACGCCTGATCTCCTTAAGGGGCAATCTCCAGTCGCCAGCGCGCTCGCCGGACTTAGCCCCCTGCGATTATTTTTTGTGGGGATACTTGAAATCCTTGGTGTACACCAATCGTCCGAGGACCCTAGCTGAACTGAAGAACAACATTCGCGTTGCTATTGATAATAATAATAATATAATAATAATAATAAATCTCGTCTGACAAAATGTATTGAACAGCATGGAGGTCACCTACATGATGTAATATTCAAGAATTAAACTTGTAAGCAAACCCAACGAAACTTTAAATGTAGCTCTTTGTAAAAAAGAAAGAATTAAAACGCTATCTTAAATACTTTTTACTTTGTGATTATTTTAAAAGAGTAAGTTCCCACGCCGCACCCTGTACCATTACGGCCAACGTTGAAATGAACACGAAATTGACTTTGAGTAGAAGTGATAGACAAATTATTCTTCAAAAAAGTATCTAGGACAAAGGCATGATGTTGCGATAACCATTGGTGATCCATAGTAATTATACACTAAATGGCATCAAATAAAGATTCATTTAACGCATCAATGAACTCTCCTTACAACTGAGTAATAACATTTTAAAGTTGTCCCTGTTTTTTTGGGGCACCCTACATACTGTGAACAGTGATGAAATAGAGAGTCGCTCCTAACACAGACAGAATCACGCTATGTACTATTTTTTTGTCACTGTGGTCTCTAAGGTCACGTATTTTATAAATGTGTCTGGATTCATGCGGTACACCTTCTCTGGATGTTCCGCTGATCATGTATTGGCTACTTTCGATATTTTGGCGTCAATAAGGGGGTACCGAATATTTTATTCACCAAGCAGCATTTCATCAACCGATGAAGACATTTTCAAATGAACTGAGCGCCAAAAAGCCTCACCTCTCTCATTTTGTTCTAACACGTGCCACGACCATGCAGCGTGCATGCATCTCGCACAGTGCTACTGGCATCAAAAATGCTAGTCGCACTGTGCAAGATTTATATGTGTGTAACCCACCTTAATTATAAACCATGCTATCTTATGTTTGAAAGGTGTTGGCTATTTAAATATAAAATGCCCCACTGTAGCAAACATATAGACTAAGTGAATTTACATTTGCTTGATTGGATCACGAAATCATTTTCATAAACAGGACAAATGTATTACCTATTAAAATAGCATCAGGTTAAAAAAGTACTTTGGTTTGCTACTACTAAGTAGGTGATAAAATATTTGAAGTTAAATGTTATCACAGTACGAAGTAAATAAATTTACCAAATTACATCAAAATTCAAAATGAACCCATAAAAATGCTAACTACAATAGTTTACTTAACCTCCCAAAGAATAAGATGGGAATTTGAAAAAAAATATTTTTTAACCAAGGTATAGGGTTGCGGCCAAGCATGCTAGATCACATCTCAGACATCGTCGTGTTTCTTACTACGTCTACGATTCACGGGTTTTCATCCCTGTGGCCCAATTATATGCATAATAGTATTCAAAAACGTGGTGAAAGATAATGTATGCGCCTGCCAAGTTTGAATCGCTTGATGGTGTGTGAGTTTTTTCTAGGAAGGTTCAATCCCAGTTGATTACCGTTTCTGGTTGATAGATGTGGCACATAAGTGGCTTAGGGAGGTTGCAGAAGGCTGTACAAGTTTACACAACAGGGCTGGCAGTGGGTTTTCATTAAGACAGTGATTTAATTACAGGTAACTATGCTTCCTGATCTGTGTCTTTCAATGATGCTTGGCTGACAGTAGTCCTTGAGAGCCTTGGCCTATAGAGACTTCCTTACTAGTTTGACAATGCGATCGCCATACAAAATTCTCTTTACTTTGGACACTGCTAGTTATAAACAATTAAAAAAACAATATTGCCCTAATTTGTTATACAAACAAACTTTTTGCATGTAAAGGGAAACCAACTCTCTTTCGTGACAAATCTTCAATAAATAAATACAATACCAGAAATAAACGCAATATAAATTTACCTCAAGTCAGGAATTACAAACAGATTCAGTTTTTCAATAAACTCCCAGCCTTGACAGCCTTAAATTTCCCCTTATTTAAGATAATTCTTAAAAGGTTTCTCAAAGACAATATTCTTCACGCCCCTAAATAATTCTGTGATTTTTTACTTTTCCAGCTTAAAAATCAGCTAAGTTTTCATGCCACCGTCGGGTTTGGCCTATTAACCTGTTTGTATTGGTCAAGATATAAAATAATTTTATTGTTATATTTATCTGTTCAACTATTTCTTCAAGGCGAATTTGTTTTTGTTTTTCTTTTCTCTGTAAGGTTATAACTTTGCGAGTTTAATATTGCCATAGCCTATTGTACTATGATGTAATTAATGGCAGAATAAACCACTATGATGACTGATGAAGGACCCCAATTGGACAACACCAAGCCAAACATTGTGCAAATGTTTAATAGCACCTCAAACCTCTCCCCCACTCCTTACACACATTTACTCCATTAACTGGCAATGAGCTTAAATAGCTGTGGACGACTGAGACCACAGAATCCGACCAGAGAATGCATTTATGTAGTTTTCAAATACTATGACGAGACTTAATCATCTCACAAGGGTGGGAATCCGCTGAAAGAAGTAACAAACATGAAGTTGGTCTTAGATTGGATCCAACATGTTAGGCTACGTTGAGAGCTGGATGAAGAGCTTAGTTTATGGACAACCCTCATATTTCAATTTGAACGGTTGTTTTTTTCCTAGAATTTGACAGTTCTAGATATGAATTTGGATTATATTCTTATCAAACAAAAAAAGACTATTTTTGTAATGTTAACACCGCAAAAAATAGATTTAGCTTAGAGATATTTTACAGAATTGCAAATCCTAACAGTATATAATCTGTATATTTATGAAACATCCGTCTACGCAAAACAAATTCAATCGTCATCCACTTCAAGCAATTCTGGTGACTAACACTAAATTGAAAATTAACTTACCACCGGGATAGAGTGGGATTTTTAAAACGAAAACTAGCTATTCAGGATTATCATTTTTACAACACTTACCGGCTTTGATACAGAGGGAAGATAATTTAAATAAATTTCAAATAATTTCAATTTTATTTCTTTAAAGACTTTTTGAAATAAACAAAATTAAATTAGTTTCGGTAGGCCTTCATGATTTCAATTTGAGTTCCATAACAAAATTAGGAGAACGGTTTAAGTTTTTACCATGTTCAAAAGAATACATTTGACTTTTAAATTTATTTTATTCCAGAAACTACAGGTAGCCTACCCCTATATACATTTAAGTATTTTGTATACATATTTGTATAGGATGTATTTATACTCTATAAGTTATTGGTCTCTATTTAATGCATTTTCTTTGTGTATGATGAATAAAGAATGATTTGATCGATTGAATATTGAAATAAATGGTAAATGGCATTATAACTTTATATTTTTTCAGTAGGCCCTACCTTTTTCTACAGGCCTCTTCGTACCAAAGCTATCTCTAAAGTAAAAAGCCAAAATATGTTACAACGATTGTAATGATACTACTGCAAATCGAAGCTCTAGAGCAGTGTCTAGGCAGGCTGTGGGCGGCATAAATTTTGCTGCCCTCAGACTATTAAGAATTTTAAAAGTTTTGGTCTTGAAACATATTTTTTGAGTTGTTAAATACTTTATAGACAACATTCAAAGGAATTATATTGCACTTAATCTTACAGATGAACATTTTTTTTACCCTTACAATATTTTAAACAAACCTGGGAATCCATGAATGATGAGGTCTCTTTCAGAAATAAGTGCTCTGCCCGGAAAGTTTTTTAGATAGCCACACTGAAACAATAAAGATCTATTTTAGTACTACTTTAGGCCTATTACAGTTTTGTTCATCACATAAGATCCTGGGTAAAAGCTGTGTTGATATTTTCTGCACCTTGAAAGTTGTGCAAAATTTGAGAAAGACTGAAAGTGTAAACCCAAAAGTGAGAAGCTGGTAAATCAAAAGACATAGTTAAAAGTGGGTCATTTACCTACTACGGGAAACTTCAATTTTTTAGTCAAATACAGAGAACTAAAAATATAACCACCAAACGCTGTGATTGCAGACAAATTTGTGTTAAGCAACATGAAAGTAGGATAAAAAAAGATGGTTCTCTATAAAAAAAAAACTGTTAGGTTATTTTATATGAAAGTAATTTATGGTAATTTGTGTCCTGTAAATATTTTTTGCCATACTACATTGTTTTAGTAGACTTTCCACACAAGGGTTTAGTCTGGAAAACAGCTGTTTGCCGCCTGCTTAATCAAATGGGATTTCATTACAAGCTACTGTACCTACTGTAATAGTATATTACGTTACTAGTCCTGAAAATAAGTGTTTACCGGACGGGTGTGGTCGTTCCCGTGCGAGACGAAGTAGAGTAGGTACGGGATTACCATACGAGTCCAGTACACACATTTTGGACGAGTTACGTACGATAGTTTACGCCATACTACTAAATACGTACAAATCCTTATATATTTCCACCAGCTAAAGAACTAAAAATCACTAGTCATAACCTCTAAGAGAGGTTATGTTTTTGTTTATAACCACTCATTGCCACCTAAATACAGTATAATCAGCTGATTGGTGTCCGGTAAAACGCATTGGAGTACAGTAGTACGCAATGAAACCCCATTTGAATAAGCTGTTTGCCGCCAGCTTAATCAAATGTGGTTTCATTGCATAGTACTGTACTGTAATGAGTTTTACCGGACACCAATCAGCTGATTATAATGTATTTGCTTGGCAATGAGTGTTTATAAACAAAAACATAACCTCTCTTAGAGATTACGAATAGTGATTTTTAGTCTTTTAGTTGGTTGTCATATATAAAGATTAAGTAGTATGGCGTAAAGTATCGTACGCAACTCGTCCAAAATATGTTTACCGGACTCGTATGGTAATCCCGTACTCGACTTCGTCTCGCACGGGAACGGCCTAACTCTTCCGGTAAACACTTATTTTCAGGACTAGTAACGTAATATACTATTTATCGAACACCAGCTGATTATAATTTGCAACAAGTGGTTGTAAATGAGAAAAATAACCCCTCTTGGAAGTTAAGAGTAGAGATCGTTAAGTCCATTAGTCGGTGGGAAAATATTTTATACAGACTTGTACAGTTTTTATTAAAGTTAAGTGTAGTATGGCAAAAAAAAATTGTACGACACCATAAGTTCCAAAATATTGTTACCATAGTTGTATAATAATCCCACATACTTCAACACTCGCCTGATAAACACCTATTTTACGGACCAGTGATGTAATATAGGGCCTACTATACTAATCTAGAGGGTCAATACCTTGATGCCAACGTAATCATTGGTAGTCTTAATGGCTACCTGTTTTGACAGAATTATGGTGTCATTGTCAACCCTAGACAAGGTTGTTGCTCCTAGGAGGTCGTCATAAAGTCTTCAAAACACTTTAAAACGGGACGAAAATATAACAAAAACAGATAAAACAAACATTTTCAAGTACGGTTAACACAGTATGGTTATACAACTCTCAGCGCGGCTGCGGGTTCAGGGTGAAGGTCTAGACTGCAATTCAGAGTTGGCATCAAGGTATTTAACCTCTAAATTAGTAATTGTAAAGTAATCCCGAACGCAACACCCAGAAAATACTATATTTGATCTAAAAAACTGTGCATAGGTACTCTGAGTAGGCCAATTTAAGTGTGTCATTGTATTCAAATATGTGTTATTATCTAGATTTCTGTCAAATAAATACAACATCCAGGTATATATTAGTTTAAAATATATACCTGTAAGTTATATTATTCACCATTGTTCATCCAGTAATTGTCATCATCAACCTCCAATCTTTCGAACTTAGCCTCACAGCCTAGTAAGATCAAAATAGTTATCAAGTTTAGATACAGTTTAAAACTTTTGAAATGATTTGTTACTTACTCCAGCGCAATGCACCCAGTAATTGCCAAAGCCCTGCGCTGTCAATCTTTCAATTTTTTTATTCCCACAGTCTGGACATTGTGTTAATTTTTCGGCTGGGACTTCGCTCGCAAGATTCTGTTGCTGCTCAGCCATGTTCTGTTTTGCAAGATTCTGTTGCTGCTTAGCCATGTTCAGTTTCCTTTCAATTTTTTTTTTAATCACACAGTCTGGACATTGTGTTAATTTTTCGGCTGGGACTTTGCTCGCAAGATTCTGTTGCTGCCCAGCCATGTTCTGTTTTGCAAGATTCTGTTGCTGCTTATCCATGTTCTTTTTTGCAAGATTCTGTTGCTGCTCAGCCATGTTCTGTTTCGCAAGATTCTGTTGCTGCTCAGCCATGTTCTGTTTTGCAAGATTCTGTTGCTGCTCAGCCATGTTCTGTTTAGCAAGATTCTGTTGCTGCTCAGCCATGTTCTGTTTCGCAAGATTCTGTTGCTGCTCAGCCATGTTCTGTTTTGCAAGATTCTGTTGCTGCTCAGCCATGTTCTGTTTTGCAAGATTCTGTTGCTGCTCAGCCATGTTCTGTTTTGCAAGATTCTGTTGCTGCTCAGCCATGTTCTGTTTCACAAGATTCTGTTGCTGCTCAGCCATGTTCTGTTGAAAAACATAGGTTTTAAAACAAAATATTTAACCCTTTGAGTGCTGTCACATCTCAATTATTGTGAAATACATTACCGGTACCGGTAGTTTGTAAATGATATTGAGTAGTTATGAATGGTTATAGTAGTGCCATTTCATACGTGTTGGAGAACGTGACTTTCAGTTTAGTGCCAACCAAACTGAAATAGGTAGTGGAAGACCTTGGACTGAAAATCTTTCTCCAAATGCAAAGCCTTCTGCAAATATTCAAAACACAAATTTTTCTTGTAATGAAATTAGGCCTAGTTACCAGTTACGCAGAGGGCTAGATGGAAATTTGTGTCATAACTTACTACAATAATTATTAAGACTGTTAAGAGTTTGTCAACAAATACAGTAAAACCTCACTAACTCGACAATTTGAGGTTGTCGAGTTATCCAGAATATTAAAATGTTTAATGGGTTTTAATAAATGAATACGGTACATCACAGACTAATTTTTACATTTAAATTTATTAGCCTACCTATATGTTGACTGTTGAGGTAGAGAGGTTTTAACTTGCAATAGGCCTATATAAATTATACCTAATAAAATAGGTGTACTTATTGAAATTTGAATTTTACCGTGTAACTTACAAGCTAATTACATAACTTATCTACAAAAAAAATCAAGTATGTCTAAAATTTTATTTTTTTTTTGGGGGGGGAGGTGTTGAGGTATTTATCTACCCCTAGCTAATTCGGTCTGTTGACCTTTTGTAGCACCGAGTAAAAATGTTATTAAATAAATATTTTATAACTAACGTTTTTACCAACCACTTTATTTATGTGGGGAAATGACCGGCATTCCTAGTGATTATATCATATCTATGCCTAGCAAACCTCAATTAAATCTGCCTTACCCTCGGCACTTACAGGGTTACACATGCAATGAAATAAGTTAATACTATGCAGGTAAACCAATTTGTTAAGTACAGTTACACCGAGAACTTACGATATGTTATCAGATTAAATGTTCTTCCAAATAAATAGGCGTATCGACTGACATATTTAATTCAATGTAAATATTAAGTTTCTATTATTGTTATGCATCTGATCAAGAAAAATGCTGCCTACCACTCTTTTACAGTGCACTGTTAGGAAAAGGGTATGGTTTGGTTAGTTTAGTCAAAAAGTAATTTATTTGCCAGATTAACAAATAGGTACATTAGCTACGTTACACTGAATACAACTCAGCAATTTATACAATAAATCAAATTGAAAGGAAAAATCTTTAACCGCAGCCAGAAACTCACGGACACTGTAGCAACACCTCAAAAGCAACACAGACTTAAGTTTTCTCTTGAATCTAAGGCGGTCTTTTTCTAACTTAAGATCGATGGGTAGACTTCTGAAAAGTTTAATTCCGTTGTTAACTTAGCTCAGTTTTTAAGTTGAGTTTAAATGATAACTTAGTGGCAAACAAAATATCATTACCGTAACTTAACTTACCTAACTTAGATTAAGATAGTGTAACGAGCTATTTTCCCTAGGGGGGTATATTTTTGCTATTTGGCCGCGCACCGATTGTTGAGGTGAGCTAGCGGCGGCGGCGAAGCTAGCGAGCGCCCTTTGACCCGGCTTATCAGTGCCGATAAGCTTGGGATATCCTGGGACTACAGGATAGCCTAGGACGGACATTCTAGTCGTGGATCCCGTGCAGTGAAGAGCGAGCGTTTGTCGAGTGCGACGTGGAGTGTTTTGGTGACATCGGTGTCGTGTGAGATTGGTGCTCAAGGAGTCAGTGTCGGCATTCAAGTTGGGTAGTGAGACAGTGACCCACTTGTGGTGAGTGGACGACGTTTCATTATTTTGGTTTAAGAGAGTTAGAGTTGTAACCGTGCTGGTCAAAGCCTGACGGTAGTTAGGATTTATTTACAGGTGTCAGGAATAAAAAGTGTATTCCTGACGGTTCTGGGCAGGTGCCAGAGCGCAAATAATATAATTTAACTGACTGTAGTAGATATTATTTTGCGTTGTACCTAGAGTTAGTTATATTACTAATAACTCTGAGGCCCGACAAACCTAGGCTGCACGATTTAGCGTGCGTAGTTGGAAGCACGAGGCCAGTAGGCTAGTAGCTAATATTATTAGCCGATTAACAGAAGCCCAGCTAAGTAACATAAAGTTGGTAGTAGCAGTAGCAGTAGTAGGGTTGGTATTGATTAATCATTTAATTATTTTAATTTAACCTGAACAGCTTGCTTAGTAATCCAACACGTTAGCTTGGTAGCTTGGATAGCGGAGTACCGGCTATCAGATAATATATTTATCTAGTGTTTGGGACGTATTTAATATTTATTTATCTGCTACTAAGTAGCTCAATATTTTAATAGTGCAATTGCCATTTAGTTTTGCTTGTTTGGCTTGGTATTTATTGAGACCAGCTACTAGTGGTGTAGTCACTCTACCTATAGTGTACTTGTATATTATTATGTGGTACGATTATTGAGTGAACTGTTTGATTCTTAGCTTGGGCATTAGAGTTGTGTATTGGATTATAGTGGCCTAGTAGACCCCGCCTGGTGATATTACGCGTTGTGGTTTTTATTGGCAAGTCGTCGTGTAACTCTCTGTGTTTTGGCACTCTGGGCTTGACTATTGGATAGTTAGGACGAAGCCCGAGTTGCGTAGTCAGCAACGACCCCCTAGGAGAGTGGAGAATCGGCGTAGGCCTGGTAGTGATTATTGCACGTTTGTTTTGGTGACTTGTTTTTGACTTGTTCACAGTGCCCGTGTATGAGCCAGTCCTATACCGGTTAGACCCGGCTTTTGGCCTAGTGGTTTCCCTGACCTTATCGCAGACCCTGGAACTTAACCCAGCCATAGTAGGCTGAGCTATCCCCGGCAAACGGTTGCGACTGCACTTTTAATATTTATTTTTCCAGTGCAGAAAATCTCGTCGCAATAGGTCCAATCTAGCTATTGGATACAGAGATATTTCAGTTTTTTTTTTAAACTCCCTTGTACAGCTAGGAACCTGCCGGAAGCAAAATTCAAAAAGGGGATAGAAACTCTTCTGTTGGCAAATTCAATTCAATCATTCAAAGAGTTTTTGAAATTTCACCTAGTAAGTAAGTTTTTTTTTTAGTCAATGGGTGCCAAGTGGGATGATTATTAAGTTTTGTTTTTGTTTTTCACTACTCTGCATGGTGTGTTAGTGTTGCAGGCTTAGGCTAAGATTTTGATGTATTGACGTTTCCTTGTACATATTGATGCTTTCAGGAAATAAATCATTCTTATTCTCATTCTCTCTCATTCTCACATACAAAATTTGACCTTGTTATAAACTTATGAAAAAGGGGACACTAGCCTAATACAAATGAGGTCCTTGTAGCTTAATAAATTTATCTCTTTTGACAAATTGCAGAAATCATGACCTAGGCCATTAAAATTTTGGTTTTAATTATGTTTCCTTGTTTGTTAATACAAAAGTAAACTAAAACAAACTGGTACAAGATAACCTAACCTTCCCGTCGTAGAACAGCGAAAAATTCTTCTTCAAAAGACTCTAATGGCTTAAAAAGTTCATAATCAGTAAACTTCAGTGACATAAAATTGGGATTAGGTTAGACCTAACTTATATCACATAAAGCAATGTCCAATACGATAATAGAGTAGGATAGGCCTAACTTATATAGGTACCAAACTATTCAATGATTTATTAGGACATTACGCAAAGCAATAGGCTAAGTCACTTACAATACAAAATAAATAGTCCATCTTGATCACAAATAAATGCGTGTTGGAAATATAATAATAAGGAAACAAACCGATCATGAAAAACAAAACTGAAGCAAAAACCATGCAAAAAACAGGCAAGAAAATAGCCATGCAAATGATTGGAAAATCTGCAGGGAAGTATTTCATTGTTTAGCTCGGCCTGTGTCTATGCGCAAAACATTTAAACAATTTCTTGTGGCATAGTTATGTACATGGTTGTTTCTCAAAAGGTGAACTTCATTTGTCTTAAGTTCTAAGACATTGGAAGATAGGCCAATATATATTTTATACAGTCATGATGCAGTTTTGTTGCAACAGCAGAAGGCAGTGTTCCAGGAACTGGACTCCACTCAGCACCCTGACAGCCTCCTTATTGCAACACTAGAATTTTACTTACACCAGAAGAATGGCCCCAGAGCCTCTTTCCGTAAATAATTATGGAGTGGAAAAAAGCAAAATAAGAGGCTCGAATGAATTCCCCAGACAAGTCAGTACTTAGTCTTCTAAGCAGGAATATGAGCCTACTGCATAGTGACTCAATGATTGCAAATCTCAAGCTCAGGTCGTCATTAAGCAGAAAATTTCATCTGGGTGGTGGTGTGGCTATTTTCACCAATACCACACTGGAGACAAAATGACTGGACTTAGATACTGCACTGATTGGATTTTGAAATTACTGGCTTGGAACTACTAGGTGCGAAGGTCATTATTTTAAGTGTTGACCGCTCCCCTAACGGCCAGATTCATAGCTTTTTTAAAGGACTGGATGCTTGCATCTCTGGATTATCGATCCTCAATAAAAACATCATACTAGGCGATGATTTGAACATTGCATTAAATTGTGAGGAACCCAACACCAGGGCGTTCTCAAACCTACTTCGAGCTCATAGCCTCTTCATCACCGCGCCCCACAAATTCGCCCCCACAATAGGATATCTTTGCCTTGACAGCATTGCAACTAGCCTGGACTCCTGGGCCTATGAGGTGGAGGTGACGGGGCCTCTGGTGGCGGACCATGGAGCTGTGACAAACTTTAATTCGGTGAGTAATGCTCCAATTTTTCCTTCATGGCATTCAGACTACACTGAGAGTGTTAGGAATATAATAGAGGATCTCCTGCCTTCTTTTAGAAATAGTTTGTCACAGGTTGACTGGAGTTTTGCATTGCAGTACAAGGAACCTGAACTAGCTTTTGAATTGTTTTTCAACCAAATAAATTAAATTTTCAATGAATATTTCCCAGCCAAGATCTTGAACAATAATAAAAATAAATCAACCAATAAAGTCAAAGATTCGAACCTAGAAAATAAGACATGGTATACCCTAGATCTTGCTAGATATAAGGACTTGGTCTTAGCTATAAGAGACAGATATTTCTGCTACATGTCAACAATCTAAGAAACGCTTACGCATCCTCTATTCTAAGGCTGAGAATTCTTATAAACTTAAGGTTAATTTAGCTAAAAAACAGGAAAATGTAAAAAAAATTGAATCTGTCATGAACTCCGGCAAGGCTGCATGGTCATTGGTAATCGAATCCAGAGGCATACCAACATCCAAAACTGTAAGGTGTAATGCCAGTCCGGATGACTTTAATAGCTATTTGCTGGGAACTATAGAGCGTGAGAACCTATCGACCAAAGAGACATAATAAGGATTTTGTCTAGGCTTAAGTCATTAAAAGGGAAGATATACTTATATATATATGTATACGATATGACCACAATAGCCCTGAAGGCAACACAACAATAGTCGTAAATGAAATTGCAGAACCACTAGCCAGTATACCCTACTTAACCAATGTCTGAGAGTAGGTGTCTTTTGCAACATATTAAAGATGGCCCGTACCGTTCCTGTGTACAAAAAGGGGGAGCCATCAGACCTAAATAGCTACAGACCCATCTTGCTGATACCTGTGTTTGGTAAGGTTCTAGAGGCTGTAATTAAAACCCAGTTGGTGGAGTTCTTTGAGAGAGGCATGTTGTTTTCAAATCTTCAAAAGGGTTTTAGAAAAGATCGATCTACAGTGACCGCTGTGTCAGAACTTGTCTGTAAAGTGCAAACTGCTTTCGAATCATCTGAATCGCTGTCAATGACGGTATGTGACTTAAGCAAATGGCTCGATTGTATATATTGCATAACATCCTAATTGATAAACTTGAACGCTACGGAGTGGGAAGCGCTGCACTCAGGTCATTAAAATCTTAACTTACTAATAGGCTACAGGTCATCTCTAGGCGGTGCGCAGGCCAGACCCATGCAGCCAAAGCAAGGAGTTTCGCAGCATTCAGTTTTAGGATTTGCACTTTTCCTGGTGGCCATTAATACTTTGGAGCTTCATGGCACCGCACTCAGATTTCCCAACGACACCGCTATCTTCTTGTTTGGGGCTACCCCTGCCCTCGCGCTTGACGCAGCAGAGGTCCTGTTTGATAAAACCAAACAATGGTGTGCCAGACAATAAACTAAAGCTAAATGAAGACAAAACTCAAGCGATGATCTGCACCTTAGCTTTCAAGCATGTCCAAGAAAATAGTGTACCTAATTTAGTCTCTCTCCTTGGCTATAAATTGACGAAAACCTACATGGACCAAGCTTATAGGCGGTCAACACAAGACTGTCAAGAGTTGTACATCTGCTTAGAAAACTCACTCAGATGATAAGTCCACACTATTTGCCGGTAATAGACCACACTCTCTTCCACAGTGTAGTGAGCTATGGCCTAATGCTATGGGGACATACTCCAGAAGAAGGCAACTAAGTTACCTTCTTTTAGGAAAAGACTGGATCATTGTAAGCCACTCCTTTATGAAAACAAACAAGTCTAAACAGTCTATAGTCAATAGCCTACATCCTGCTGTGTTCCGTCAATGTTGAAACCAACCTATTGAATTTCCCTACCAGAAGTACTATAGGCTACATGCACACATAAAACCAGGTATAACAATGAAATAGACATCCCTTTCTCCAGACTCTCAAAAAACAAAAAAAATCAAACCCGACCATGGCACTCAAGATACTCAAGACCATAGCACTACAATAGCCCACCCCAAACACTGAAGAACCCGGAAGTTCCTAAATTTAGCACTGCCCTGAAGACATGGCCAAAAGATAGGCCATATTAGAGCCTGAAAGGTTTTTTTGAATAAGTGGATGCTTCCACCGCCATGAGAAGTTTTAAGCTAATTAATATCTAGTATTAGAAGACACAACCTATATGGCATCGCTGGTTTTGGTGTCAAAGGAGGTAATTAGGGTGCAGTTTCTTAACTGGGCTGTGCTAATATCGATTGAAACTATCGATTTGATTAGTAAACCTTCATGCAATTTTTTCACCATCAGCAAGTTTGGTTGGCTAGGTTAGGTTATGATAGTTTAATTTTATAATAGATATATTTAAAAATATCGATTATTAACCAATATTTTCAATTCGATAGTTTCAATCGATATTAGCATAGCCCAGTTAAGAAACTGTACCCGGTAATTAAGGTAATGCATCGTATCAAAACGTGTAAAGACGATTCAGCCTATATTATATCTTAATTTGGGTACAGTTTCTTAACTGGGCTATGCTAATATTGATTTGAAACTATAGAATTGAAAATATTGATTAATAATCGATATTTTTAAATATATTTATTATCAAATTAAACTATCATAACCTAACCTAACCAACCAAACTTGCTGATGATAAAAAATCGCATGAAGGTTTACTAATTGAATCGATAGTTTCAATCGATATTAGCATAGCCCAGTTAAGAAACTGTACCCCTTAAGTTTTCTCAGGAACTGTACCCGTTTATTCAACATAACTTAAGCAATGTAAGAGCTTCAGCTTGTAAAGGAAGGAGTATGAAGATGGAGGCTCAATTATTGTAAGGATAGACTTCGCTTTTAAGGTTAAGTAGACTTGAGCACAGAAAATTCACATTGCAGCATTCGTACTTCATCAGCTCACATCTATACTAACTATGTAATGGTCAGCTTAATCATGTTAAACCACTGTAATTTAAGTTAACTGCTTGATATTGAAAAAATAACCATCAGCATTCACGTGCTCTAACCTCCAAAGCTGCCATTGGCATTGGCAGAAGCAAAAGCCCATCTAGATTTGTTTAGCTTCCATATAGCTTATCCTTAATAGCCTACAATAATTGAAAAGTTTGTACTATTTATGCTTACACTTTAATAAGAAATCTATCTAATAATATATATTTACCTTCAAATACTGATAAACTCACTATGACTATAGTAGTCTAGTTCAGTAGCTTTAGAATTGACCGAGTCGCCACTCGACTCGCCACTCAACTCGCCAACGCCAACTCGCCACGCCAGTCGCCCGACGCCCCAGTCGCTATCGGCATCGCCAACGCCAATTTCGCCACTAGGTGCGCTGGCGGTTGGTTTTGTGCGCTTTCGCGTTGACGTTCGCAACAGTTCGTCTAACTGCCGCTAGGTGTCTCCCAAGTTGAATTTCCAGTTTTAACCCTCCGTCGTTTAATTTATTTATCTATATTATTAATTCTATAAGGTGCAATAAAAAACTGAACCTTTCCCAAACAAATAAACCTAATATAGATTCAAAACAAATCACTTTTTTTTATTTAAACCAGTGTTAGTATGCTGAAAACACGTTTTTACTTGCAGAAACTCGTTCTGATTTTGGAGTAGCTGGTACATGACCTCCCCAATTTGCTCTCTTGTTATGGATTTTTTTTCAAAAGTTTTTTTGATATTATTTGAAAAGCCGAGAGTCGTGTCTCTTACCCGTGTAGAGACAGATGATTGGCTTATAATTCTCAATCAACTACTGTAGCAGAGTTACCACCACGTAGTGGCGATTTTACCCTAGAGGCGGGCTAAAATTACTCTAAATAAATCTACTTTGAGCTATCCTAAATGTACATTTTGGTGTTAAATGCTATAACATTGTTAACATGATATAAATCTTCAATAAGGTTGTTAATTATACTTAATAAGGTTTCAATATCAATCAATATACGTAAAAATATACTCGATTCTCAAAAACAACACGGAAAAAGTACAAAATGTTCATAGTCAGCTCTATGTAGGCTATGAGAAAAATATCGAACCAAGAATTATTATATTTTTAATTGTATCAACCCATTACTACTTTTCTTACAATAAATACTTCTTGATGCAGTACGGAACTATAAAAGCGTTAATCTATACATAGGCCTAGAGTAATTTTTAGACACAATCGGTAAAATAATCCTAGTGTAATTCAACTCAATCACATAATTAAATACAGTAGCAAAGTTAGTAGAGGAACCCTTAATTTTTGCCTTATTTTTACACAAAAACCGGTATATTTCAGTTATCTTTTGTCCGATCTTTTTGATCTTGGTATTTTTTGATAGAAAATTAAAAATTCTAAAAAAAAGTATTCTTGACATTTTTTCATAGAATTAGCCGTTTTCGAGTTATTTAAGTTAGAAAAATTCAAACGGCCGCCATTTTGAAATTAACAATCGGAACAACTTTATTATTTTTTCTATTATAGGTCTTGTGTATGGTAACATGTTTACCAAGTTTCATAATCATCGAATAATAAACTTCACAGATAAAAATATTTTTGTATAAAAAACAAAATGGCGGATATCTGGGTAAATATGGATTTTCGGACATACCTTCCCATAAACTTTTTTCTTCCTTTTAGTATGGGGATTCATTTCCCAAAGTCCTGAAACGTTTTTTATGGACACCCTGTATATATATGTGTGTGTGTCCGTTAGCCCGATAACTCGAGCCAAAATGATCCGATTTCGATGAAATTTGGTACAAACGTGTAAACCTACGTTTATTCAAACGAGTTCGCGAACCAGCATGATCGGACCTTGGGAACGGGGTTTTATGGGGGGATTTATGGGGTAAAAATTGGTTTTTCTCATTTTTGACTCTCGAAACATAAAATTTTCCAAATTTCGTCTAGACAATTTTAAAGAGCTTAAAAAAAACAAATAATTCAGTATACTGAAGTGTTTTTGTGTGGTTATTGGTTACGGAGAAAATTGTACCCTAAATTAAAAATTCCCATGTTATTCTTATAGAGAATAAGCCAACTGTCGTAGTTTACTTTTTTATGCATATATTTGGATCAAACTTGGCCAATCTATTTATTTTATACCAAGCAATTAATATTTTACTAAAAAAACACACTTTATTACCCTGTAGGCAGCAAACCTTGGTACTCGTTAAACCTAATGTTATTTAAATAGATTTAATTGAAAATCAAATCAGGCAAATGGAAATTCACTTAGTCTGCAGGTTTGCTGTGGTGGGGGTATTTGTATATTTACCGTCTTGTGAGTAACAGTATAAGCGTCAATATATATTTTAAGTGTTATAAGACGTTTCTTTGATTTACTTTCCGTAAATTTAATACAGTACAATGCTGATCAAGAAGTTATTAATTAATTAATTAATTAGTTAATTAATTTCTGAATTGAATTATTCAATTTTAGAAATTAATTATGAAGGCAGCTCTTCGGAAATCCCGTACATATCCCTCAAACCTTATTTTTGACGTATTTAAAGTTTTTAAAATCTCACAATTATTTGTTAGATACCTCATCTTATACCTATTCAAAAATAAAGCTGACATTTTTCCCCAACACCGACTATAACCTTTTCATCCGGTATGCTCTTAATACTGGTATTGCCGTTCCCAGATTGAATAAAACTATAAACTGTACTTTTGCTTTTTATATTGCTAACTACATATTTCCAAAATTACCTGATGGGACGTATGTGAACATGCGAGTATGTGTGTGTGCGTGAATGCAGCAGTTTTCTGTGCTAATTATTTCAATAGCATTTAAAATCTACATACCTTCCCAAGGCTCGATTTATTTCTTTTACGTGCAGTATTGTCCTTTTGATAAAAGTTTGAATATTGTTTCCTATTATTACTATTTAGATTCAAAGTTGTATTTAGTTCATCATGATAATTGAATCTCGGATTTACATTACCTCACCATTCTATTACATAGATGTAGTAATTATCTATTAGAATTATAATAGGGATTACGCAAAAAATAATACAGGTAATAGTAATATATTTTCGTCACAATTTAATTAAATTGATATTCTATGTTATTTTTTATTATAGTTATTATTTCACTTGATGTTTGCGACTCGATCCCTGCATTCTAGCTTTGCTTCGCATGAACCTAACTTCAGATTATTTAATGTAAAAGTGATGCGTAATGTTTATTTTTTCTGAATAAATTAATTGAATTGAAAAACATCGATGTTTTTATGCTATCGATTTCTTTTGGTAGATACATCGATGTTTTGAGGAAACTTGACAACTAGATTAATTTAATTCTAATTCTGAGAGTTAATCATCAGCCTCAATCGATCGTAAGA